AAGAAAACGGTCTTTTTTAAATAACTCAGGCAACGCTGGGTACCCACACTAGTATTTTTTTTATAAAACACAATCATGGATATAATTTGTGTTTCTCACGGGTCTGAAAATTTTGGAGAAGAAAACTCCTTTGCAGTTTGTAGATGCGTTCTGCATGAAAAATGCACAATGAGGTTTTTTCTCCTTCAATGTTCATGTGCAGAAAACAGGCTATTTTTGCATAATATACCCATGTGTAGTTTTTCCTGTAGAATAAGTCCTAAACTCAAAATAGCCTTGCATAGTTTTCAAGGACTGGTAAACCTGGCACAGTGTCTGAGCAGTGATTCAGACACTTGCTTCCAGTGCCCCACGCTTAAACCGCAACAGTATATTGTCTTTCACAGAACAAATACATCTATATGTTTTGAATCTTTACGTGGATTAAAGTTGAGTCCATCTGCTTAGCAAACTAAATGTTGGCCACGCGGAGAGTTTTTTAGTCCAACACATCAAGAGCACACTAGTCAAGGGGGAGGCTGCATTCACTGATACATCTATCCATCTATTACTCTATCAACTAAAGTGGAGCTCACATTGAAGCAATTGGTTAAACGCTTGTGCCGGCTGAACTGCTGACTGAAAGGTTGGTGGTTCGAATCCAAGGAGTGGGGTGAGCTCCCGTCTGTCAGCTCCTGCTTCTCATGCGGGGACATGAGAGAAACCTCCCACAAGGATGGTAATAACATCAAAACATCTGGGCGTTCCCTGGGCAACATCCTTGCAGACTGCCAATTCTCTCACACCAGAAGCGACTTGCAGTTTCTCAAGTTGCTCCTGACAAGTTATTACATTGTTTCTTCAAATATTCCAAACATGAGCCCTGTTATTGAGGAAGGGATACCAGGGATAAAATCTGCTTCAAATGGGTCATCATTTATACTATTTATACTATCACTTCGTATATAGCCCTGTTATCACCACAGAGAGAAAGTAGAGATGGGAGCAAGATGAAAGACTCTTGAACAAGTAGACTGGCCCTTCTGTAAATGTGCAGACGCTTCCCTTATATTATAAACTATTATTGGGTTGTCTTCTGGCTTGAGCAATTTGCATTCCACTTTGCTCTCCTCACAGATTGCTTTAATCTAATAACAGCTGCACCAATTGCTGGAAGACTAATTTCTTTTGCACCCCCCCCCCCCAATCTCTCTCTCATACATATTACATGCACACAAACAAGACTTCTTTCAGGCATATAATGAGAAATAGGACCACAGAAAATTTTGGGGAGTAGTTTAATGTGCTGTTTGTATGTGTGAATTGGACCTCAGAACACAACCTGAAAATAAAATTAACTGTAAAAAATGGTAAACTGAAAAGGTCCTTCTTTGTGGGCTCCTAATATTCCCTTTCCCTTGAAACTAGAGGTTACCCTCTCATTGGAAAGAAAAGAGTGTTTGTGTGTATCTCCACGGTAGAATTAATGCAGCCTGACACCACTTTAACTGCCATGGCTCAACACTACAGGATTATGGGACTTGCAGTTTATTAAAGTCTTTGGCCTTTTCTGCCAAAGAGTGCTGGATCCCCACCAAACTACAATTCCCAGGATTCCATAGCATTGAGCCATCACAGATAAAGTGCTGTCAAACTGCATTAACCCCACAGTGGAGATGTACTTTCTATTAAACATGCATAAAAACTGGAGTGTGTGCTAAAATTTGGGCAATACAATATGGTGTCAGGGCATTGGATAGACGACATGGAATATAATACAGACCTGATGAAATCCCCACTGATATTGTGGAAACTGGCAAGATTTTGGATCTCCTAAGTTAGTCTGTCACCCTCCTCAGTAGCAGAAGGCATTGTCCTTTTGCCATCGATATTGAAATAAAATAGAGCTTCTGTTTATAAAATGGGGAAAGGGGTATTTTAATCTTTCTATCAGTAGTCACAATGTCTTATGTAGAAGAGGGATGCCACACCTAGCAGAAAATACTTCTCATTCTTATGTGTGTGTGTGTGTGTTTTTGTTTTGGTTTGGTTTTTTTTGTCGTGTCAGGAGCGACTTGAAAAACTGCAAGTCACTTCTGGTGTGAGAGAATTGGCCATCTGCAAGGGCGTTGCCCAGGGGACGCCTGGATGATTTGATTTTTTTTATCATCCTTGTGGGAGGCTTCTCTCATGTCCCCGCATGAGGAGCTGGAGCTGATAGAGGGAGCTCATCCGCCTTTCCCTGGATTTGAACCTGCAACCTGTCGGTCTTCAGTCCTGTCAGCACATGGGTTTAACCCACTGCGCCACCGGGGTTAAAAATATACAATTTACCCTCTATATTTGCAGGTTTCACTTTTATGAACATGATTAAAACACTGTGTCTAGGAATCTCTAGATCTTCCAGTGGTTATCCCGCACTAGAAGTTTCCAATAGAGGTCCTAGAAATCTACTCTCAAGTTTTTTTTTTAAAAAAAGAAGCAAACATTTATTTTGAGTCAAGTCCAATTCTGGGTGTTGGTGATCATCTCCATTTCTAAGCCGAAGAGCCGGCATTGTCCATAGACGCCTTCTATGTTGTGTGGCCAGCATGACTGCATGGAGTGCTGTTACCTTCCTGCAAAAGCAGTACCTATTGATCTACTCAAGATTTGCATGTTTTTGAACTGCTAGATTGGCAGAAGCTGGGCCTAACAGTGGGAGCTCACTCCATCTGTGGATTCGAATCTACGACCTTCTGATCAACAAGTTGCTATTGTGTGCCTTAGCGATTTAACCTGCTGCGCCACCTCAGCCCCTTTTTGCAGACATACTTTGTCCCTAGCCCAAGTGAATGGGGAGGGCTGACTGTAGTCATAACTGGGGAGCCAGTGTAGACTCTGGGGCCCCTTCAACACAGCTGAATACAATCCCACATTATCTGCTTTGAACTGGAATATACATGGCAGTGTGGACTCAGATAACCCAGTTCAAAGCAGATATTGTGGGATTTTCTGCCTTGATGTTCTGGGTTATATGGCTGTGTGGAAGGGCCCTGGGAGGCCAGAGTTGAATCCCTGCTCAGTTGGGTACATTGTGCAAAACGTACTCTTTCAACCTGAGAGGAAGGCAATGGCAAACCCCTCTGAACTATTTTTTGCCATGAAATTCTCATAATAAGTTCACCTTAGAGCTGCTATAAGTCAGAAATTACTTGAAGGCACACAATAGAAAAAATTAGAATTGGCTAAATGGTATTGAAAGAGAAAGCAAACGGAGAGATTACATAAAATCGCTTACCTGGTTGTTGCAAGAGTAAAATCAGGGAAGCATGTATCTTTGGAGAAAGAATGGAGAGATAAAGCAGGGTATTAATAATAATAATAATAATAATAATAATAATAATAATAATAATAATAACAAAGTGTTCAACTTGTGATTTTTTAATACGAAATCCAGCATATAGATCTCGTTTGCTGTGACATACTGTGCTTTTGTGTCAATAATAATAATAACAACAACAACAGCAACAACACTTGGGAAGTGCCTGATGTGTGATCCAATACAATAGCCAGCAGAATGATCTTGTTTGCTGTGGACTCATTTTGTTGTGTTTCAAATAATAATAATAATAATAATAATAATAATAATAATAATAATAATAATAATAACAACAACAATAACAACAACAACAACAACAACAATTTAATTTTCCCCTCACCTCTTGATTTATAACTAATTTTCTATTCCTTATGAGTGAAACTGGAAACTAGAACCCTTTAACTACACCTTCCTAAAAACTGAGTTAGGTTTCCAAAATCCAGCTGAAAATTGGTTCAAGCAGACCGGTTGAGCAGCCATGCCTGACACAGAATGAATAAAGATACAAACAAAAAAGACCCCCCCCCCCCAAATGAATAAGGTGGGCAGCAAAATCCTGTCCTAACTGGAGAAAATGTGTAATACGACCAGACTGCCCTCACATTTKTATAGTGCCTTTCATGCAAACTTCTACAAGGCTGTGCTATGTTTTTATTTACTCCTCCAAAACAGCATCGTATAAAGCAGCTCCTGTTAAACAGAGTGGCAACTGAGGTTAGAACATACAAGACCTTAAAATGTCTGCAACATTTGGGATTATTAGAAGGGTGTTCCAAATTACACAACTCCCTAAAGCATACTGAACGAAGTGTGGAATATACCACATCTTCATGCACTATGTGCTATTATTCTATTGAACCCAACAAAAGATTGTACATGTTTTTAAAATTTCTGTAGACCACATGTACCAAAAATGCATGTACTACAATTAAAAATAAGCACAATCTGCGCAATCAGGGCCAGCTAATCACTTCCCAACGAAGGATTCCCCCAGGCAGTAAGAAGCCAGACCTTGAAACTGCTAGGCCATTAAATACTAATCAAGGTGGCGAGTTAAAACATTCACACTTACTTCAGACAAACAAGAGTTCTGGACATTCCACAGATATATAAACCACTTTTTCCTAGTTTCCAACAGACCTTACAACCTCTGAGGATGCCTGCCGTAGATGCAGGCGAAATGTCAGGAGAGAATGCTTCTGGAACATGGCTATACAGTCTGAAAAACTCACAACAACTCAGTGATTCTGGCCATGAAAACCTTCGACAATACAATCTGCATGTTCACATAAACAGTCTATTCATGTTAGTAAAAATAAAATGGTGTCTACAGCAAATAACTGCTGATATGTTGAATTACTGTGCGCTGATGATTTATTACCTGAATATCTGAGAATGCAATGGTGTCTGGGGGTGGGGGGTGGGGGGGTAGGGGCATAGTTGGTAGTCCACACTGCTAGATACCTTGAAGGGACTTGACCAGCAGTATCATGAAGTCAAATTTCAGAGTATATCTTGACTCTCTTTGTTGTGGTGATATGAGATTGTCTGTGATGGGTTTGTCTGTTGGCATGGCTTGGCTATTTTGTGGCTTCCTCTTTCTAACAAATCTGTCACTCTCTTTCTTCCCTTGCTCCCAACTCTTTCTGGCCCCTTTAAGATTGTTGAATGAAAGTGACAAGCGACCTTTCATAGAAGAAGCTGAGCGGCTGCGGATGCAGCACAAGAAAGACCATCCTGATTACAAGTACCAGCCCCGTCGGCGGAAAAATGGCAAGGCTGCCCAGGGTGAAAACGATGGCCAAGCTGATGGAGAAGCTGGTGGAGCTGCTGCAATCCAGGCTCACTATAAGAATGCCCATTTGGATCATCGGCATGCTGGGGAAGGATCGCCCCTGTCTGATGGACACCCAGAACACTCCTCAGGTTAGTCCCTACATGTCACAAGTGTGCTCCGTACTTAAATGTTGGCAAATCAGCTGTTTAAGCATGTCAGGTTATAATTATGAAAGTTACAGGCCTACATTATCGTTTGGCATGGATGGGTTTATCAACATAAAGAACTCAAAGGTTTACCAGTGTTAGTGACTGAAGAATTAATTATACCCAGCTGCCATCTTGGATTTTTTTTAAACTATCAACAATCCTATAGCATCCATACTGGCAAAAGGATATCTTAATCCTGTCAGTGGGACGAGGATAGAAGAAAGCACAGACACTTTCCATTCTGTAGAACAGGGATGAGCAACTGTGATTTTCCAATTGCTGTTCAGCTGTAGTTCAAATAATACTTTACCTTTGGTTATTCTAATTGGGAGCCCCCAGTGGCACAGTGGGTTAAAGCGTTGAGCTGCTGAACTTGCTGACCGAAAGGCCACAAGTTTGAATGGGGAGCGGCATGAGCTACAGCTGTTAGCCCCAGTTTATGCCAACCTAGCAGTTCAAAAACATAAATGTGAGTAGATCAATAGGTACCGCTCTGTTGGGAAGGTAACAGTTCTCCATGCAGTCATGCCAGCTACATGACTTTGGAGGTGTCTATGGGCAACGCCGGCACTTTGGCTTAGAAATGGAGATGAGCACCAACCCCCAGAGTCGGACACAACTGGACTTAATGTCAGGGGAAAACCTTTACCTTTACTGTTATTCTGATTAGGGCTGATGGGACTGTAGACCAAAAGCACACAAGGGTCACAATTGCCCAGCCCAATTCTAGGAGATCAGTTCTGTGTGCCATGCTCAGATAGGCATGGATAGAATGATCGTTCACCTATTCTCTGTTTCTTTCATGTTGCTTTCGTCTCACAGGTCAGAGTCATGGACCCCCCACCCCACCAACCACTCCGAAAACAGAACTGCAGTCGGGTAAGACCGACTCCAAACGGGAGGGTCGTTCCCTTGGGGAAGGAGGAAAACCTCACATCGACTTCGGCAATGTGGATATTGGTGAAATCAGCCACGAAGTGATGTCCAACATGGAGCCCTTTGATGTAAACGAGTTTGACCAGTATCTGCCACCAAACGGGCATGCTGCTCACCCAGGCCATGTCGGTGGCTATGCCGCAGCTGCTGGTTATGGCCTTGGGAGTGCCCTGGCTGCAGCCAGTGGACACTCCGCCTGGATCTCCAAACAGCATGGGGTTTCCTTGTCTGCTGCCACGTCATCTGTGGTAGACTCCAAGGCTCAAGTCAAAACGGAGGGCTCAGCTTCAGGGGGCCATTATGCTGACCAGCCCTCTACTTCCCAGATAGCATATACATCCCTTAGTCTGCCCCACTATGGCTCAGCCTTCCCCTCTATATCCAGGCCCCAATTTGATTACCCTGACCACCAGCCCTCAGGACCCTACTACAGCCACTCCAGCCAGGCTTCTGGCCTCTATTCAGCCTTTTCATATATGGGTCCTTCCCAACGTCCCTTATACACTGCCATCTCTGACCCGGCACCCTCAGTGCCACAGTCTCATAGTCCCACACACTGGGAACAGCCTGTGTATACAACCCTTTCGAGACCCTAGGGAATGGGGAGCAGTGACCAAAGCAGCAGCGGAAAGGCTCCGAAGAATCAGCCCCAGAAGACGAGCCTCCGAGTCCCGAGGTCATTTGGTGTAATCCAGTCGCCAGAACCCAACGAATATCCGGGCGTGTCTATCATGACCGCAGTTATCGATGGCTCACCTGGCTGGAGGAAGGTTCCCACCCACACCCCATACTCCCAGTCCCTGATTGGCTTCCAAGATCCCGTAGGCCTTCTAGATGAGGATGATTCTAGGCATGGAGCAACTAGTCGTGGTGGGTTTATGTCGGGCAGATCGAAGGTTTAAAAATAATAACAACAATATCATTGAAAGATAATCCTCTTCCTTCTCATCCCTTCCCTCAAACTGTCGAGACCATTTGTCTGACAGTTGAGAAAGACACCAATGGCCATTAGTTTGCCACTTGCTGTGGGTGAAGCCTGGCTAGTTGGACTCTCTGATGGATATGTTATAGGAGGAGAAGGAGGGTGGTACAGCTGACGTGGACAGTGTTCTCGGACATTCCTGCTTCAGAGTTGTACATGCATGAAATTTTGTTCCCCATTGGAAGACCAACCTAAGCTTGCTTTTACTATTGATATTTGTCACCTGCATTCCACTATCCTTTATCTATTCCATCGCCTCTCTGCTGCCTGGCGCTCTTAAGACTTAACTACACAGTACATTGGACTCAGGAACTGCGTTATATGCTCTGGCCGCCTTTGCATCACAACATGTAAATGTGTGTGTACATGCTGGTCCCTCGGACCATAAAGGGCAAAGGGGACTGATTCCTACTTTGTTGTTATGAACATTTTGTATTCTTAGTTTGTTTCCACTATCTGTGGTTTCCTTCTAAACTCCTGCAGCTACCTTTCTAATACTCCAGAAAATACCCTGCCAAAGCCAATGCATTTGCTTGCTTATGAGTGTGCTTGTGTATATGAGTATGTGTGCGCGCGCACGTGTGTGTAGAAGGGGTGAAGGAAGACAGAAAGAACCTAGAAACCAAGAACTGTCAGTGTTGTTCTCCGGCTTCAGTGATGGGGAGCACATGGACTCTCCTATGTTGTAGTTCTGCCATTTTGCACCATTCTTCACCATTGAGTATGCAGGCTAGGCCTGAATGAAGATGCAGTCTGACAACCGGAGAGACATGTCCCCCACTTCTTTCCTTATTGCTTAAATACAGAACAAACTGTGTCATGAGAACTTCCATGTGACCAAGATATATTGGTGCCTGAGTCAGAAATTTAGAAAAGTACATGCAGAAATAGTAAAAAAAAAAATCCAATTAACAACAGTAGACATTTGGTGCCCTTAAAAGTTTCCCATAATCTTCTGTGTGAGAGTGGCTGCCTAACAGCAGGACCAGCCATGCTCCCATGTCTATATTTTTTATTATAAATTCTAAATTTGCCATAACAAGAACACTTTTGGTTCTCATAATGTGTTTAATGGGCATCAAAAAGAATGGTAGTGCAAAATTTGGAAGACATCTCCATTCAGCTTTCATGTGGAGGCAACCAATCCAGCTAAATCGAAGTGTGCCTTCATTTTTTTCCATAGTCCTGTGTGAAGCTTTGCAGGCTCATCCCACAAACATTGTCCCCAGTCAGTTAATGAATATGACACTAGGAAGACTGAGAACATGATGGGTGAATCCATCAGAAGGAGAACAGATGACACGTCAGGACGGGCACTGATAGACACAGGACACATTGCAGTACATGCTGTTCTTCCCAATCCCTTCAGACTGAGATGGTTGAGGCTAACCTGCCCAAAGTTATGAACTTTATATATGCTTGCCTCCTTTTTCAGCTATGGATGATTGTCCATTTTCCATAGTATTTGAAAAGAACATGTAGTATGCCTGTATTCCTTGTATGCATGTAATCTATTAACTGTTCTGCATCCTTATTTATGCAAGTAGCACATCCTTCCCTACCCCCAGCACTACCACCCTTTGTTGTCCTAGCACCATTAACTTTGCATTAAATGTATGGAATAATAAACTTGAAAAGGTTGAGTTCTGTGTGTCAATTTCAGTTTCTTTTCTTCTTTTACCCTTCTCACTTGTCTACACCGCCTCCACACAAACAAACAAACAAAAGCCTGATAGGCACAATGTCCTCTTCTTCACTACACACAAAATGTTTTGCTCACACATACTTCCTCAACTTTTATACATTGTTGAAAAGATACAAACAAAACATGAAAACTCTCTAGTACAAAAGTCTAAATTTGTCCCTGAATACCTCAGGGCATTATCTTTTCAGTTGACTGAATCTTTGTGGTGAGCTTGAAGCTACTGGAAACATCACAAGATCTCCTGTAAATTGTCAGTGCATCTGGGGTTCTAAGATTGCCTCAAAGTCAATATTTTTGGTCATATATATATATATATTCCTAACTTTCTTATTTTGGGGATTGAAGGGGACTCGCCATATGACTAAAACAAGGTAGAGTAGAATCTTTCTTATCCAACATAAATGGGTTAGCAGAACATTGGATAAACGAAAATGTTGGATAATAAGGAGGGATTAAGGAAAAGCCTATTAAATGTCAAATTATGTTATGAGTTTACAAATTAAGCAACAAAACATCATTCCTTACAACAAATTGACAGAAAAAGCAGTTCAATACATGGCAACATTATGTAGTAATTACTGTATTTATGAATTAAGCACCAAAACATCATAATGTATAGAAGCAGCTGTGGACCCGAGCAGGAGGTATACTGCGTTGGATAATACAGAACGTTGGATAAGTGAGACTCAACTGTACATAAATTAAAACTACCTAATAAATGTTTTAAAAACAATTAAAATACTATTTTAGCCATCAATGCTTCAAAACAATATAAGACCATTTAATAATCCAAGTGCAGCGGTATCCCTCCCCGTTAAGGGCCTCTTTGAATAGACACTTAACCTAATGCTTGTGCAAACAAGAAGGAAGGAGAACATGGAGAGTATATAGCTAGTCTCCTATGGAAGAAAGTTCCACAGCCTGGGACCAACTACCAAGAAGGATCTTTCTCTTGTATCATCATCAAATGTACTTGTGAAAGAGGTGAAACCAAGAAAAAGTCCAAAGATTTTAAACTTCAGGCAGGGTCCTGTGTGGAGATGCAGGCTTTCAGATAATGTGGACCTAAGCTATATTGGATTTAGCAATCAACACTTAGAATTTAGTCTAGAAATTAATTAATAGCAAGCCATGCCTCCACAGAATTTTGGACCTGCTGAAGTTTCCAAACAATTTTCAAAGATAGTTGTCAGCAGAGTGAACTCTACTGTTTGGCAGTGGAACTCTCTGCCCTGGAGTGCAGTGGAGGCTCCTTCTTTGGAGACTTTTAAGCAGAGGCTAGATGGCCATCTGTCAGAGGTGCTTTGAATGCAATTTTCCTGCTTCTTGGCAGGGGGTTGGACTGGATGGCCCATGAGGTCTCTTCCAACTCTATGATTCTATGAGTGTGATACACAATCCAAATGGGATGTAAACAAGACATGTATCACTATAGCAATGGATGGATTTGTTCATAAAAACAGAAGACAGATCTTTTCTGTAAATAAATATTTGACTGAAGCATATGATAACAGCCTTAATCTTTTGTATTTAACTCAAAGATAGTGAATGCATCATTTTCCAGATGTTGTGGTACTGCAACTTCTATCAACTCTAATTATGGGCTGGGATGGTGGAAGTTGGAGCCCAATCACAACTGGATGCTCACTTAGTCCCCATCCAGCCATAAGCTAATAACACTGTGTAACACATTTTTTTGTTTTGTTCCTGGGTTATAAATGTCATTTCCTAATTGGTTCTGTCATAAAACCATGGGAAAAGTTTATTAAACTGCAAAAACCTTTGCTATAGCTTTTCAATGAATATCTCACCAAATCTCAACCAATTCAACATAGTTTGTGTCTGCCACAAAAATGAAGTGTCTGGAGTATAACAACTACTTTCAAAGTACTGAACAATTAAACAGGAAATAACACTTTCAAGCCAGGAACAATTTTTTTCAAAAGTGTTTTTCAAATTTTGTTACATAGTATAATTTATGACATTAAGTAGACCTTTTTCCTGCAAATTTACCATCAATCACAACTGAGTTATCTCAAAACTCAGTTATCTGAAGGAGATCTTGATGGCGCAGTGAGTAAAACTCTTGTGCCGGTAAGACTGTTGACCGACAGGTCAGCGATTCAAGTATGGGGAGAGCAGGTTGAGCTCCCTCTGTCAGCTCCAGCTCCCCATGTGGGGACATGAGAGAAACTTCCCACAAGGATGGTAAAACACCAAACATCCAGGTGTCCCCTGGCCAACATCCTTGCAGACGGCCAGTTTTCTCACACCAGATGCGATTTGCAACTTCCTGACACAAAAAAATAATAATCCCAAAACTGGTGGCATCTTGAGAAATAAAAAAAACTTCCTTCAAACCCTTTTCCTCAAACCATTCAGAATTTGTTTTAATGTACAGTGTGTTTCTTGATGAGACAGATTCTGAAAGTTACCCTGCCTATTTAATTCACTGTAGCTGATGTGCATTATTATGGGATGCATTATTATAGGGAGGAGCCCCCAGTGGCGCAATGGGTTAAACCAGGGGTCCTCAAACTAAGGCCCGGGGCCCGGATACGGCCCTCCAAGGTCATTTACCTGGCCCTCGCTCAGGGTCAACCTAAGTCTGAAATGACTTGAAAGCACACAACAACAACAACAACAACAGCAACAATCTTATCGCTTCAGCCAAAAGCAGGCCCACACTTCCCATTGAAATACTAATAAGTTTATATTTGTTAAAATTGTTCTTCATTTTAATTGTTGTATTGTTTTAAAGTGTTTTTTGCACCACAAATAAGATATGTGCAGTGTGCATAGGAATTCATGCATGTTTTTTCAAATTATAATCTGGCCCTCCAACAGTTTGAGGGGCTGTCACCTGGCCCTCTGTTTAAAAAGTTTGAGGACCCCTTATGCTGGCAGGACTGAAGACTGGCAGGTCGAAGGTTTGAATTCGAGGAGAGCTGAGATGAGTTCCTCTGTCAGCTCCAGCTCCCTGTGTGGGGGCATGAGCGAATCCTCCCACAGGGATAGCATAACATCCCAAGAGTTTGCTCCTCCATCACCTACACACCTGGGCAAGATCACTTGTACTAGCACAGAGATATCATGTTTGATACTACTCACATTTCCATTCCAAATTGCTATGATTTCATTTCAAGTCTCTTCACTGTCATTGAAAACAACTCTGCTTTCTAAGTCAGTACAATAGCATCCAAGAGGAAGTAGAAACATCATTTGCACTAATTTGTCTACTTTTTCTAAGGATAGAAGATTCTACAGCAAAACTTTCAAGATGATGAAGAGATGACATGTCCTTTCTTCACTTTGAAATTTCTTCTTGCAAGTCAAAGGGTAGCAAAGTAAGAAAGGAGGAGTCACAAATCAGAGGTCACCTAAAAGCTAGGAAAATGCCATGCTTTGCATAGCAAAGCACAGTAATTGCTCAATCTCTGTGTGGGCAAATGCAAAGAATGCAGTGGGTGAGTAGGTTATGCATTTGGCCTGGCATTATCCCCACTGACTCTAATGGGAAATTTTGGCTCTGGTTTTATGGACTGAGCAATTGTTTCATTTCAAATGTTTTCAATGGCCAACCAAATGAAGTGATATGAGCCGTTCCTTCATCATAGTACCAAATGTTATAATGACTGGGAGGGGAGATATTTCAGTTAGCTGAAAATCAGATGAAAGAAAGCAAAAAGGTAGCAGCAAAATAATCCAATAGGGCATTAAAAGATGTGCATTATTATGGGATGCATTATTATAGGAAGGAGCCCCCAGTGGCTCAATGGGTTAAAGCCTTGTGCTGGCAGGACTGAAGCCTGACAGGTCGGAGGTTTGAATCCGGGGACAGTGCAGATGAGCTCCCTCTGTCAGCTCCCCATGTGGGGACATGAGAGAAGCCTCCCACAAGGATGGTAAAACATCAAGACATTGAGCCCCCTTGGCAATGTCCCTACAGATGTCCAATTCTCTTACACCACAAGTGACTTGCAGTTTCTCAAGTCACTCCTGACATGAAAACAAAATTATAAGAAGAATTTCTGTAGGTTCTTTCACTGGAGAGTAACAGCTCAAAGTAGTAAAATCCACTCCTTTAGCTATCCAATTAGTAAAACTGAAGGATCTTGTTCAATTCATGGGGGAAGGAGAACTAACAAAGCTTGATGCTTTCCCATTAATTCTACAAGAACTCATGGTCATCCATTGAAGATAAATGGTGGGAGATTTAGGACTGAAATGATACCTGAGACCTTCATACCAATTGGTACTGCATCTGAAGAAGTGCATTCATATCCACAAATACTCATGTGAAAATGAAAACTAATTAGTCTTAAAGGTGCTGCCATCATCCTTCTCCTTCTCCTCCTCCTCCTCCTTCTTCCCCTTCCATCCTTCTTTTTAAGACCGATAAAAGGAAGTACTTATTCCATTAGTGAGTAGTTAAACTGGAAATCAGCACATCAGAATGTAGTGATGGCCCTCAACTTGGGTGACTTTAAAAGTAGATTGGGACAATTTCAGGAAGGATACTAGCAATAATAGATACCCGTATATTCTGGCATATAAGACGACTGGGCATATGAGACGACCCCCCAACTTTTGAGTTTGGGATATACTCACTGTATAAGACTACCCCTCTTCCAACACACACCATGAAAGAGCCCTAAGTGATTCTAAACTGACTAAACAACTTTGTTTTGGTCTCTACATTGTCATTTATTGCAGCTTGCAACTCTTTGCCTCTTTCTACATTGCCATATAGTGCAGCGTATAAGACTGCTCCTGCATATAAGATGACTCCCATGTATAAGACTACTCTCGCATATAAAACGACTCCCATGTATAAGACTACTCCTGCATATAAGACGACCCCTGACTTTTGAGAAGATTTTCTTGGGTTAAAAAGTAGTCTTATATGCCAGAATATAAAGTATATGTTCATATGAT